TTTCACCCACTGTTATTTCATAGAGTAAGACGACAGAATTTAGAGGATATCGCATTGCTTACAGCTCATTCAAGAGAAGTTTTCTTCGTCTGTTGCCTTGATATCCTTCACAAATCACTAAATCGTTTTAGTTCAGCCAAAGAAACTTGCCTGATTCAATGACATTTCAGCCAGCAGTGGATATCTCGAACATAATGGTGCAATACGATGTGAAAGCGGATTCGGAGCGATTCTTAGCACGAGACACTGAGGCAAAAGCTGAGGCAATCAAGCGAGATCGCGCTAACGCACTTCTTAGACCACATCGAAACAGTGGATATGAAAGAACTGGTGAGATTTGCACGGCCAAATTCGACGGATCTGACGAAGAGGTTCTCTACAAGGTAGCACACGTAATTTTCAGCAGTTCCCCTTTAATAATCATATGTTTTCATAGAGTATTTCTCATTGAGACAAATTATTTTAATGTTTTTGAGCGTCTTTACGCAGTGTTTTTCGTGGAAAATCACTGATTTCTTCAGGTAATGTTGACGAAAACAGATTTGTCGTATGGATTGTACGGCTTCCATAACTATTATCGGATGGAGTTGATCAAACGAAAAGGTAAAATTGTTTACGATTGATTGAAGTGATCTTTCTTGAGACTTTGCTTGTATTCTTGAGCTATCCCCTTCCCACCACCCAATGAACTGTGGTCTAATACGATGCTAATATTGAAGGAAGTGATTTGCACATTTTGTTCACCAATTGGGGACGTATTGGTGATGCTAATGGTCAGTATCAGAGGACGCCATTTGGATCGCTGGCAGCCGGTCATGACGAGTTCTGCTCTGTTTTCCGGTCGAAAACTGGAAACGACTTCACGAATATCGCCAACTTCGAGGAAAAACCCAACAAATATCGGTGCGTTGCATTCATTTCATGTTTTAAAAAAATCAATCTTTCAACCGCCGTTACAATTTTGTCATAATTTGGTCAAAAGGGCAATTTCCTCACTCGTTTGAATGAATTCATTTTAGGTTTTGTTGCTGAAGTTGACTTAGACTCGTTCATTATGTTTCAGATTGGTTACAGCCGATCCGAATGCAGCCATCGATTTCAGCGATTTGACCATCGAACTCGACACTGATCAAACCCAAGCAATCATGGATATAGATTCCGTTTATAAATTTATCCGAGACGTAAGTAATGTGGCGCGACTTCAGGAGAAAACACGATCGGTAATGATTTTAAGCGGTCTGCACTCATTGTTTTTGTTCTCAGATGATAGAATGTTCGCAAAA